ATTGTATATCATACTTATGCATACTGTACAGTGGAAATATAAGCAAAATGCAATGTTTTAAAAACACGGAGTCCAGCTCCAAGCCACTTCCTGTGATGTCCGAGTTTGTCCATGCCATTGTCCTCTATGCCACTAAGAGCAGTGGCGATACAGTCACGTCCAGAATGCAACTGTTGTCTCTAAGACTTTCTTCTAAGCTATTGACAAGTTTTGAAACTGGCACTTTATCTTACAGAAAAATCAATGAAAGGATTTTTCAGACAATAACCAGGATTTACAGTGCTTCCTCAAATAGTCATTATGATTCTTTATCAAATGGTTTGTTGACTGAGAAGCCAAGGGATTACAGTTAGACAACCCTCATGCAACAAGATTATCACATGCAGAGGCAAGTGGCGTCTACAGCCATGACTGCTCCCTTTACCAGCAATTGTAAAACACCAGCGCTCGCTTCATTTTCATAAATGTTAAAATGTGAAAAATGATGTGCCATAGTGAAGCTGAAATATGGTAATGTAATTGCTAATAGCCTTTTATGAGTGACTGCTATGTGTCGGGTACTGCTTATATTCTTCATATACATTATATCATTTAACCATTAATATAATCCTACGAAGTAGATGCTATCATTTATATGTATTATAGTTAAAAATTAAACAATGTGTTCTAAGGACAGACATCGAATAAGTGGTAGATCTCATGTTTAAACGTGGTTCTCTGTCATTCCACAGCCCAGATTTTTCCCATAGGTATCTGGTTATAAATATTTAAACAGAAAATCCCAAAAGAAGGGGGTCACTCAATCATTTGGAAAAAGACAATCGCTCCATCAGACATTTTCCTTGGATAATAGACAGAGCAAAGAGCAATTTTGTGAACAAAATGTCAGGTTTATATATTTGTGAATTATTTAAAAACTTTCAGAACAGGAAAGAGATGAAATATTATCTATTTGAGGAAGAGAAAAACTGCTGTATCAGCTAGAAGCTGTGGTGACTGCAGAAGAAACGTTTTGTGAAATATGCCTTATGTCACAAATAACCTCTTAATTTTTCCAAATAAACAAAAACTCTGCAATTTTCAAAGAGAGGAAAAGTTCATCTATACTTAATGTATAATAAAGAGTGGATTTGGACAAAGGAAAGTGCCTGTTTTGTTTGCATTGGTTTTTTTTTTTACAAGAATGTTAATAGAAGCTTTATTCATAGTTAATTAAACACTCTTTTCCCAAATCCATGGATGTGTCTCACAAAAATCAGAAACAAATATGAGCATAATGCACTTTTAGCTGTAAGCTTATTAATGTTAAACTATCTTTTGTACTTAGAACCAAAGTAGTTAATAAAAAACTAAACTGATTCTTCTGTGAAAATATCTCTCCCTGTCTTCATAAGACACAGATATTTTTTTCCCATAAGCTGTGTTTATGTGCATGCAGGGGCTTCCACATTCTCTCAAGAATAACTTTGTTGGCAGTCATGAAACACAGCAGCCGGGCTGAGTATCATACACTCGAAGTTTGCACTCCTAGAAGAAAGCATAGAGAAAATGCTCCTTGACATTGGGCTTGGCAATAATTTTTTGGATATGATACCAAAAGCACAGGCAACAGAAGAAAAAATAACAAGTGGGACTGCGTCAAACTAAAAAGCTGCTGCACCGCCAAGGAAACTATCAACAAAATGAAAAGGCAACCTACAGAATAGGGGGAAATATTGGCAAACCATATATATGATGCGGGACTAATATCTAAATATATAGGAAGCAGAATTAGTATCTCAAAGAGATATCTGTACTCCCTTGTTTATTTCAGGATTATTCATAATAGCCCAGATATGGAAACAAACGAAGTGTCCATCAATGTATGAATGGATAAAGAAAATGTAATATATGTATATGTATATATATATATATGTATATATATATTTCTATGTAATATATGTATATATACATATATAAACACAAATGTATACACACACACACACACAAATACACAAAGGATTATTATACAGCCATGAAAAGAAGGAAATCCTGCCATTTGCAACAACATGGATGAATCTGGAGGACATTATGCCAAGTGAAATAAGCCAGACAAAGAAAGACAAATACTACATGATCTCACTCATAATGTGGAATCTAAAAAAAAAAAAAAAAGTAGAATTTACAGAAACAGAGAGGAGCATGGCAGTTGGTAGGGGCTGGGGTTTTGGGAAAATCAGGTGATATTGGTCAAAGGGTACATACTTTCAGGTATAAGATGAATAAGTTATGGAAATCTAATGTACAGCATGTTGACTATAGTTATGAATAGTATATTGTATGCTTGAAAATTGCTAAAGAGTAAATCTCAAGCATTCTCACCACACAACACAAAAATAACTATGTGGGTGATGGATGCGTTAATTTGATTGTGGTAATTATTTATCAGCAGATATGTACATCAAATCATCACTGTAAATATATACAGTTTTGTCAAATACACCTCAATAAAGCTGGAAAAAAGTTAAATTAAAAATAAATATTGCATAGTTGTTGATTGCCTCCGCCAAAAATATGTTCAAAGAGAAAGAAGTTTCTGTAGGTTGTGCACACTGTGTGTGTGTGTGTGTGTGTACATGTGTGTAATTTATGCATTTCAAAGGAATTGAAACTGAACTATAAGATGTTCCCTTTCCAATAGAAAGAAAAATGTTGAAGAAATTATAAACAAAGTCAAGCAATAGGAAAAACTTGGTACTGTCAAGTATTCTATTTTTAAGCACTCCATAAAATACTAATAACAAGATTTTATTTTAATGGGCATCTAAATTGTATTGAAGTATTTTAAGGTAAACATTCTGAATGGTAGTGTTTAATCTTATATTAGCTTTAAAAATTGTATTTTGGGCTTTATAAAACCCATGTACTTGTCTAATGATGTTTACTCTTCCTTATAGGTAACTCATTTAGTTGACTAATAGACATACAGACACAGCAAATATGTAATGCTTAACAAGTAGTGATCCAGTAATGAAGACTATCACAAACTCAGGATAACAATACTCAATCAACACCAGTTAGCCCAATCTGTCTGTGTACATTATAAGTGAAATCAAGAGCACTGCTCTACAATAACCTCAGCTTGATGAATAAACTATGAGTTTTCTGAGACTATAAGCTGTAAAAGATTTAGTGTTAAGCATGGTGTCCTTGGGTATTCATAAATTCTTTTATGGGCTTTGCCTGTAAATGTATCTATATATTTTTAAAGGGTATATGTAAAATGTTCTAATATGCAGAGGAAGTCTGCATTTTTCTGTAGTATGGAATAGGCAAAAAAGCTTTAGAGTAAAACCATATTTTTCTCTTTTTGTGTAAGTGCATTGCATTTTTAATGTAGACTACTGCACCATCCCCTGAATCTTGCCAAGCTGTATGAAAATTACACAGTTTTTCTGTTTCCATGTATAAAAGTATCAAACATGTAAACTTTGTGTTAAGTGAGTTTTGCCACCAACCTGAGTCCATGGACCAACAGCCATGGCGTCCCCTGGGAGCTTCTTAGAAATGACGGTTCTCTGATCCCACCCCAGATCTACTAAATAAGCATCTGCATTACCATCCCCAGGTAATCCCAACACACAAAAATTTGAGAAGCACTAATTTTGGATACTTTGTTGATTGACCTAATTTTCTATAAATTACATTGTATAAATAAGTATTCCACATGTATCCTTTATTTTAGCAATAATCAAGATTTAGTATGTAACGAAAACACCAAAATAATTTTTTAAAAAAAACATAGATTTTTCTAGTTTTCCCTCAGAATTTAAAATTCAGTAGCTCTAGGGTCAAGCTCGTTTGCCTAAATCACAACTCTCCTGAAAACAATTAAAGTTAATGATAATATCAATTCTTGGTAATAGCTCCAAATCATAGGAAAATTCCTAACACACAAGAAAGTTACATGCTAACTGTTTCTGTTAAATTCTGAAATGTTTCGAATTTTTTCTCAAACTATTAATCACAGAATCAATAATTTGGTATTAACTGTGCCTAGTTCCATTCATGGAACATGATGAGATCATTTGTTCTCTCTCCCACTCCCCCGCTAAAGGAATGCCATTATTTCAGCCAAAGTCAGACAAAATAATTTACTGGAGACCTTAAAAGTTAGCACTACTTCCATTGTAATCAACTACTTCTTATTCTAGAAAAATAAGACCAATATAGTCTGCAAAGCACTTATTAAAACACACCACAGATCTCAAACACAGATGCATCCAGGAGCCATCAGGTAACCAATGGGAGAAACAAAAAAGTGATATCCTGGTTACAGACATTCAAGTTCAATATGTAAAAATCTCCCACACAGAACAAATAAGAACACCTCTGTGGACAGCATTCAGCCTGTGGTCAGCTGGTTTCTGGTATACTTGTGTATACACTAACATGGTTCTTCTAGTTAATTCCTGGTGACACACCAAAGGGCATATTTTTATTATTTATTTGTTCATATGGCTTATTGGGGGACTTTTGGAAACTTGGTTGTAGTTTGTATTTTAGTTATGAAGCCAAGTGGATCTTTAAATACATAGTAAATAAGCCATAGCTGTAATCTATGAGTTTGCATAGCCCTGGGTTTTTTTCTAAGCAGTTTTGACAAGGAGTCATGCAGAAAAGGTTCAGTTTGCATTCTTTTATACTACACAATACACCATCTTCAGAGAAAAAAAAAATTAGGATTTTTGTGGAATACCTGTCTTCATTTCCCTCATTAATTGCTTATTAGGTAAAAGTGTATGATGCTAATTTACTTTTGGTGCTTTGATTTTACATGATTATGAAAGATTTAAAATGTCCAAAAGTCTTTACACTTTGCAAACATCAAGAATTCCTTAGTACCATTAAATGTCTAGTAAGTGTTTGTTTGTATTTAAAATGTCCAGAAGCACAGCTGTTTTCAAATTTTACCTAGAGGTATCTTTATACTACAGCTTCTAAAATGAAGACAACAGCTGTTCACATGTTCAATATGTACTTTTATTTTAAATACCAGCACAACAAACACAATGACATGACAGGACCACTATCTCAATAACACTGATGACATTCATCGACAAGTTGGCTTATAATTTACATACATTGTTTTTATCTGGAGCTATTTTAAATATTATCTTGACATACACTGTAAAACACAAATCTGAAATATATACCAGTTGCAAACATAATGTGCTTAGTTACTATTTTCCTTGTCATTCAAATGAAATGATTTAAAGTTCCTCAAAATCATGTCCACTTGTATTCATTGTTTCAGGGTGCATGACTCGTCCCATGAATAGGATTGTACCTGCATTGAGTTGGAAATGAACAAAGGGGATGAACAACAACAAAAAAGATATTTATTTCCTCTCTTGCTTACAATTAGCAATGATCTAAAAATGTAAATATAAATAATTTCATTAAAAGAAAGCATTTGAACATTAGAAATTATCCGATAAATAATGTAGAAAATATTCTCAATTTAAAAGAAAATTCTTTCTCTTTAACCCATTAAAAAAGTTCTGTTCTCGTAACAGACTTACCTGTTCTCCTATTCCTGATAAGAAAGAAAAATGGATGGTCGACAATAACTTGAGGATAGAGCACAGCCATCCTACTAATTGCAATCATTCCTGCAGTGCAGAGAGAAAGTAATTACTTGTCCGTGGATGTGCAGGGAATAATGAAGAATTTTTTCAAACCATCTATGTTTAATGCGAACACAATGGTTTACAGGAAACATGATTTTAAAGACTTAAAGAGAGAAAAATTCTAGAGGTGTAACATTTCTACTTGACTTTAAACACACACACACACACACACACACACACACACACACACACAGTTTCCTATCTCCACCCCTCCAAATATAATAGGACAATTTATTCTGCCTGTTACAAAATTTTTAGTCTCGGTCTCAGATAAATATTTATGGCTTTACTAAAATGATCTTTGAGTTAAGGGAAGAGAGAAGAAACCCTCCCCGCAGAAAACAAAGAGTTTCTTTATTCTCTCAAATCATTATTTGTCTGAAATGGGTATTTTTACATAGCAAGTCACCAGGCTTCTAGTAAGTGTCTGGAATAGCAGTGATTAAAGGGAAAGTACAGCAGTGGGAGACAAAATGTGTTTCCTACAGCTGGGAAACTGAATTCCCCTGAGGTCCTTCTTATGGGCAATCATTTTATACTTGCTACAGGGTGACTCAATTGTGAGACAAAGGTCACTATTAAATTATGTAAGATTTTTAAGTTTTCTTAATACCTAAGACTACTGTGTTTCTATTTCCTCCTGAAAATATGTTTTTAACTGGCCCTATCCTTTGAATGGACAAATTTATGCAAAGGTAGAATAATGTGTACAACTATGACGGGTTACATTTTATGTGAGGGGCGGGGATGGAAATCCAACTAAAATTTGATGGTGAGGTTGAAACAAATCCAAAGAAAGGAAAAAAAGGTGATGGAAAATCATTCTCAATTAAGGAAGTCAGAATGATCAAAATGACCAAGGACATCTGCCGTTTTGCTTTGGACACATGATTTATGGCAAATTTTTAAAATTATGTATTTAAAATTTTATTGGTATTATTATTTTGTTAAAGCTATTTTTTACTTGCTATCATATACTCTTGTGTATCTGTGCTTTTAAAAAATCAAAACTTTTCACTGACAAAATTAAAAACTAACCTGCACAAGTAATTAAGGAGGAAGAAAAATGTTTCAATGGGCAGCAGGGAAATATTTAAACCATCCACACAGGCAGCAGAGCAGGAAAATCTACTCTACAGAGCTGCCAAATGTCCTCCCACCTCTCATTAGAGAGAAAATGGGAGGTGGGAGTCACCCCACATGGGGCACTAGAGTGAGGGAGGGATTTGTAACCTATTTAGAACATTTTAGCTGGTTTTAGCTACACTTCTAAGTTAGAGCAGGGCCACAGCAGAGTCAGTTTTATGGTTTGATTCTAAAAAAGGATCTCCCCACCCCCCACCCAAAATTGCTTCAAAAATCCAAATCTAGAAAATATTAGATTTTAGAAAATAACTTGGCACCTGAGGTGGCAGCCGCTTCAGAGCCTTCTTCATTAACCTCTAGGAAGGACTTGTGAATTGCTTTGGAGAGAAAAATCTCTTTGTTATCTGCAAAAAAAAAAAAAAAATAGAGAGATAATACAAGCATTTCTTCAGTATCAGAGATAGGGAAGCATTTTAACCTTTAGTTAAACGGATATGGAAAATATAAGAGACGTAAGAGACTGATATATGACATAAACATAATGATATAAAGCGTAAGAGATAATGTTGAAAGATTACATTTATGATTTGAAAGAACTACTGACAATGTGTATTCTGATTTGTCCTCATTTTATATTCTCTTGTTAATTTTCTCCTTCATTTTTATTGGTAATTTTCCTATTGCTTATTTCTTATATTGCCAGAAAAAGCAGAAAGTGGCTTTGTTTTAATAGCAACTTCAAATTAGTTCATAACGCAGTATGAAAATACCTTACATGTTGTGCTCTAACTTGAAATTTAAAAACACAAAATAAAAAAGATAGAAATCCAGATATAACCAGAAAAAGAAATTTAAAAAAAAATCTAATCTCTGGGCCGGACGACTGGCGCATTGGTTAAGAGTTGGCTTGGGATGCCACCTCTGAGCAGCAGGGCCCCGGTTCAGATCCCACATGGGGGCCAGTGACACTGCCCTCAACAGCTAAGATGGTGAACAACAGCTCAACCTGGAGCTGGGCTGCCATGAGTCGCCAGCCATGGCATAGGCTGCAGCCCCTGCTGCAGTGGGCTGCCATAAGCTACCGTGTGTGGCTGGCTGGCAGCCAGCGTGAGTGGCTGGAAGCCAGTGTGAGCTGCCAAGAGCCACCATGAGCAGCCATACAGAGGCCGGAGACCGATCTGCCTCACCTGGGAAGAGCTCAGTGATAATACCAACATGGGCCAATGAAGCAACGTGCTCCATAACTAGACTGAAGAACAAAACGACAGCAACTTGTCTGTTCCCCTTCCCCTGATTCCCCAACAAAATCTTTAAAAAAAAAATCCAATATCTAATTATTGCGGTAAAGTAAATACCCTTAGCAAAGAAAAATGAAATTGGTTTCTAAGTTGTGGAAATGTGAATATACAAAAAAGTTACTACCCATTCCATCCAGTTAATTGGCTTATCTGAGGAATACCCTAGTCAGAGGAAATAACACATTTTCAATATTAGGAGGGCTGTTTTTCTTCCCTTTGAATTGTCTCTCTATTTATGCTTACTTTTAAATTAATGGCTGTTATCTGCTGACTTGTGTTCTCTCAAACTTCATATATTGAAGTCCTAACCCCAAAGATTTCTGAATGTGACTATATTTGGAGATAGACTTTTAAGTTAAAATGAGGTCATTAGGGTGGCCTTAATCCAATTATGATTGGTGTCCTTATAAGAAGAGGAAATTTGGACACAGCTAGGTACAGAGGGAGGGCCATGTGTGATGGTTAACTTTATGTATCAATTTGGCTGGGCCACAGTGCCCAGATATTCAGTCAAACATATTCTGGATATTTCTGTGAAGTGTTTTCCAGATGAGATTAACACTTAAATTGGTGGTCTTTGAGTAAAGCATGTGGACCTCATCCAATCAGCTAAAGACCTTAGTAGACCAAAGACTGACCTCTGAACACGAAAGAATTCTGGCAGCCGCTGCCTTTGTATTTGAATGAAACTGTTCCCTGAGTCTCCAGCCTGCCTGCTTACACTTTAAATTTTGGATTTCCAAAGTCTCCACACTGTATGAGCCAATTCCTTAAAATATGTCTCTCAATAGATGATAGATAGATAGATAGATAGATAGATAGATAGATAGATAGATTTGATCTAGATATAGATTTTTCCTGTTCTGTTTCTTTGGAAAACCTTGACAACATGTGAAGCCATAGGGAGAAGGCAACCATCTACAAGCCAAGGAAAGAGGACTTAGGAGAAACTAACCCCAAAGACACCGTGACCTCAATCTTCCAGCCTCCAGAACTGTGAGAAAAATAAATGTCCATTGTTCAAGTCACTCAGTCCGTGGTTCTTCGCTATGTCAGCCCTGGCAAACTATATAGTGGATCAGCCTTCAGCCTTAGGTTTCCAATTTATTCCCAAGAATCAACAAAACAAACAAAAGATACCTCAAATACAAACAAAACAAAACAAAACAAAACAAAACAAAAAACCACAGGAAATAAGATGGTTTACTCAAGTTTGTACCCCTACCCTTTTTTCCAATTCCTGGAGCTCTAATTCAAATTTAAGATAAATAACTTTGTTGCAGATGACCAGCACCATTCAGTATTAGTAAATCACAGTTGATTTCCCATTAGGCTGCTTAATAAGACTCCATGAGTAACCAACTCCTATCCACAACATTCATTTTCCTTTCAAGTTTTCAAAAATACATAATCATCTTATACAGATAGGGAATGGTGTACAACAACATTTTTGGTACATCTGTTGCACAGCACCTGCTTATTTTGAATAAAATCTAAGACAGTTGAGAGGCATCTCTTAGTATTTTTTAATAGGGATATTACTTCCTCAGTTCATATTTAGTGTTCAGATATTAGCATTGCATTATGAAATCATCTATCTCACATATTATGACACTTTCTTCTAGAATGCATTTGATGACTAGAAGAAAGATAAGAAGCAATAAAGTTTTTAACATTAAACAATTAAGTATAATTAGCTCCTTCAAATCAAGAAGACCAGTTTTTTAACAAATAAAAAAAATATATAAATTGCATTTATAACTAGTCAAATATACTTAGTTGACAAAACAAACACATGATTTCCAAGACAGTAAAATATATTAACTATTTGTAGTTAACTGATGCTGTGCGATTTTCACTCTGCTTCCCATTTTCATCAGTCTGACATGGTCATCCACCAAAAGCCAATATTACAGCCCTGAATGCAAAAGTGACAGAACCCAGATCCTAAAAGGTAACGAGTGCCCACAATGCCAGCTAACCCCTCTTCAAATATTCTGAGGGGAGTTCTCATAAACACCAAATGATATTTCAGCCACATCAATTTGCATGGAAGAAACCACCTCCAATAATTCCTGAGCCCGTACTGCTGGCTTCACTAGGGACCTTGAGAGAAGGAATCTCATCCCTTCAACTCTGCCCCAAGAGGACCCTCCTCTAGTCACCTATCCTTTCATACGCTTTCATCTACTTACACAAAATGGTGATGGGGAACTGGGGCAGAAAGGTCAAGAAGGCAAGGATGCTAAGCGTTCTTCCCAGAGAGCTATAATGAAATGGACAAATTTTTAACAAGATGCATGAAGAAGAAAGACTGCCCAAATAAATAATATTAAGACAAAAAAAGGAAAGCATATCTAAAGATACAGAAGAGAATGTTTTAAGTCACAAAAACTGCTATGCATAATTTTCTGCAGATAATTGTTAACCAACTTTATGAGGTATGATTTATTTACTATAAACTGTATCTTTATGCAATACACAGTTTAATAAGTTTTGATAGATGTATATGTCTGTGAAACTACCTCCACAAATAAGATACGGAATATTTCCATCTCCCCTAAAAGTCTTGTATTTGTTTATGCAGATAACTTTGAAAAGGAATAGGCTTATGATCAACTGGACACTTTTTATAGAAATGTACAAATTATAAATTAAACCAAGGGGGTGGGGAAATAGAAGATCTGGATAATCAAGTAAGCAATAAAATATTAGTTGAATCAGTAGACCAAAACTTCCCCCATCCTCAAAAGTAAAGAATCCAAGCCTTAAAGATTTTAACCAAATCTTTAAGGAACAGATAAAAATTTCTGTTATAAGACCATTCAAGATTTTAGAAAAAGGATAAAGCCATTCTAAATCTCACCTTGACATTAAAATTAAGCAAGGGCAGTTTTAAGAGAAAAAAGAATCATTAACCAAACTCACCTATTAACATGGAGATAAATGTTTATTTTTATCAGAAAATTAAATCCAGCAAGATATACAAATAATTTTTTTAAAAAGAGTTTTAACGGTATCACAATGTGTCATGATGCTGCAGTTGAGACCAGCTCTAACAGCCTTGAGTTTATATTAAAGCTTCCTCTGGGATGATCTTATCAAGTAGGAACCAATTTAAGCCACTACCCTACTTAAAGCCCTTTACCCGTCTTGGGCTTGCTCTGCCTCCCACCTCACTTTCAGTATATCTCATCCCCATATACCGGCTCAGCAGGCAATAAGAGGGCCTCTGTGAGGTTGCTGTTCCTTCATTCACTTAGCATTCTTCACTTCATACCCCGTGCTCCAGTGTATGTGAATTCCAACAGCCTGCACCTACCACACGTCATCACTTCTTTGTTTCCCCAGAAACTCCTATACCCCTGGTTGTACAGTCAGATACCTGATCTACTTTTAAGGTTCAGCTTCGAGGCTTATCAGGCCTTTTCTGCGCTCTGATTCCTATCCCCCACTAAAGGAGAACTGATCACTCCTTCCCTCTGAGCCCAGGATCTAATTCTATTGACGCTTTCATAATATATCATATTTGTATTGATCTCTCTCTCTCTTCCTGGACTGCCAACTTTCTTAAAACAAGGATTGTGTCATTCCCTTTAGTATCCCTTGCTTCTGGCATTCAGTAGGTCTAATACATGAACCACTCTCATAAAGGGAGTTTCCTGGTAATGTGTAATTTTCCAGTAGTTAATCCAGTTCACAGCATAAACAGACATTTATTAATTGTCAAATGAATGGGGTCAGCTATTTCATATTGTTGTAGGACTTTGGGTGTTGTCACACTGTGGGCACCATGACCACGATTCTGTTCACAATTATAGCTATCAAGTTGATTCTTGTAATAAATAAAATATGGCACCAATCCAAAGTAGATGCTCTAGGAAATTGATGGAGAACAGAACCAGCAAAGAAAAGAATACAAAGACCACACACACACTAAAACATTTCAAAATCTAATCGAGTGGATGAGCAAAGGGAATGGTATCCAACAGACCCGTGTCATCATATACCTTTCAAAGACAGCAAAATAAAGATCCAATCCAATGTTCCTGCTCTCAGGGGTGATTAGCTGCTGCACGATGGACAGCAAAGGTCTGTACATGTAAACGAGGCCTCAGAACCCTTAACCTTCAGAAAAACAGTATCCCTTTTGATATAAGAGGCAGAAAATGTAACAAATAAGAAATCACATCACAGATACTGAATGGAAAAAAATGATTTGTTATTTTTCTTTTGGGACAAACTTCAAGCAACAAGGCTAAAATAAAATATAAGCCCAAAGTGGTTTAATCAAGAATGTTTCTGGGGCTGGCCGAGTGGCTCAGTTGGTTAAGAGCTCACTCAAGAGTGCGAGCTCTGAGCAACAGCGGTTCAATGCCCAGCCCTAGCTGAGTTGCCTCTGAGCTGCCAACAGGTGGCAGGACGGCTCAGCTAAAAAAAGAAAAAAAAAAATGTCTCTGTTGTCACTAAATTTTAGAAAGAGATAAGGCCATGCAAGGATACACGCAAGCTCATGGCTTTCTTTGCTTGCCCTCTGTAGTGTAATTGCTCATCATAGTGTAATTATGTGTCAGTCAAGCCATGTTTTGTGCTAGGCCACACCCTTACTCGAGGGCCTGGACCTGCCAGTCCTCTTCACCTATTAGTTCCTTGCACACTGCCAGGCATCAAGTTCACACTCAGATATTTGATGAATGAGAAAGTGACAGGAATTAAGGAGATTTATTTTACACTGATAAGCTCATCTTATTGTCTAGAAAAAACTTAACCAGTCTCTGAAAAAGAAAATAAAGAAGTCAAAGGCAAACAGAGCTACCCACCCCCAAAAAAAAGAAAGAAAGAAAAAAATCATACTGGCCCCAAGCGGTCTGATCCTGGCCACAATAGACATTGCTGACAAATGACTGCTCCCACTTTCTTCTGGGCAGCCTGGAGCCAGGCTTTTCACAGGGGTAAGTGGGAGCTGGTCCAGTAAAAGCCTAGGTTCCCAAGAGAAGAGCTGGGCTCTAATTCAAGCTCTTCTAAAGGAAGCAGGGCAAAATACTTAGGCATGCATTCCATCCCTGAGCAAATATTTATCAAGTACCCTGTTTGTATGAGGTGCTGTGCAGGGCACCAAAGGTTCTAAGTATCTGTGATGAGCAGAATGCTGGCAGGATGGCCGTCAGTGCAAGTGGGTGCGTTCCTGCTTTTGTGGCACTTTTCCCAAACACGGCCAATTTACACAGATGTCTGCGTCAGGAAGGACATGCTTAAAATAACGAATTGAAGAGAGTTCCATAACAGAACACTAGAATACCAAAAGCATCTCTGTACGTCAGTTGCTAAAATATTTTTAACTTCGGCCCACGAATTTTAGAAAGGCTTCTAGAATTTAAGTCCTTGAAGGTAGGAATAGCGTTGGTTTATTTGTTTGTTTTTCTGGATAGATTTTGTTATAGATCAGCAAATATTCATTTGTTAATTCATTCTTTTTTTTTCATTTATTCATGTACTAAGCACCGCCTACGAGCCAAACATAGTTGATGCACTGGGTATACCTTGGTGAACTAAATAGTCCCTTCCTAATGGGGTTAGGACAATAAATGACAATTAAAAGCAAATCAATAAATGACCACAGTTTCGGGGTGTGGTAAGTGTAACTAAGAAATAAGATAAAGTGTTGTATTGGCTGGTAACTTAGGCATGGAAGACGAGCTACTTGGCATAGGCTGTTAGGAAAGGCATGTCTGAGGTCAATTTGAGCTGAGACCTAAAGAATACAAAGGAGGCAGTCATGGGAAGATCTCAAGACAGAGCTTCCTGTAGAAGGAAAGCTAGTGCAGAGGCAGTCACAAACCAGGTGTGTTCAAAAGATGGCTTGTGTGTCTGGAGCATGAGTGAGGAGGGCTGGAGGTCTGAGAGAAGCCCCCACACGTGGAACAAGGCCGGGCCCAGCACCATCTCCTCACAGCACACACCCACCCAGCATCTGTCGTGCTCCCCACTCCATGCTGGGCTCTCAGGACAGAAAGATGTCTGTGACTCAGTCCTTGCTTCTGAGGTCAGAAACATATATGTCAACAAATAATCTAAGGAAAAGGTAAAATGTGTGATAGCACTTTGCACTCTTGAGACTCTGAATAAGGGCAAGTAAATCATCTAGGAAGGGACAGATGTCAGGGGAAGTTTCTCAGAGATGGTGACATTTGGGCTGGTTCTTGAAGAATGAGCAGGAGGGTGAATGTCAGAGAAGGGTTCAAGGGCATCCCAAGCAGAGGTTATATCTGCAAAGCAAGAGAAGCCGTGGGCACGACCCAAGGTCCAAGTGGAGCCCAGGCTATGAGGAGGTGGGGAGTGGCTGGGGCGGCCCCTGATCCCAGAGCGTAGACCTCAATGCTAGAGAGCTGGGCTTTGTCCGGAAGCAAAGGAACACAATTGCTTTGATTTCAGAAGACACCTGTGGCAGCAGCTGTAGAGGGTGAATAGGATGAGCAAAAAGCTAGGGGCAGGAAGATCAAGCTTATTAACTTTTGCAATAGTCCAGGCAAGAAAGTAGGAACAGCAATGGAATTATGGCATTGAACAATAAATACATCCCTCTGGTTTACAGGAGCAAGGAGAAAGAACAAACAAGGGTAGGATGGAAGAGTCAGTCCAGCATAAATCTAAACACTGGAGTCAGACCTGGAGATGGCTTTTGCTGTGTCTTCTTAACTCCTTTATTTTATGGGCTCCTTTATTAAAGCTTGTACTTTATGCTGAAGGATTTAGTATGCACTTTCTCCTCCTTACACCTTCCAAGAGGATTATCTATTAATCGAAATGCTGACAGTCATTCATTTCCGTTACAAAAATAGTCCTGCTCTATAACAGGATCCTCACTGCAACAAGATGAGCATTTTACATCCAGCCCGAGAAGAAACTGGTTCTCAGCACTCTCTACAGCCCATGTTTATTGTATGAGTCTTTACTATGCTTTATGGTAATGAAATTTAGCATCCAAAGCAATGGGCATCAAACTGAGATGAAAAATGTAGATGCAATAAATACAGAGCATCTCATCTGATTCATTTCTTATGCAGTGGATACTTAGGGGAAAGCACAGCACTGGGTGCTTCCTAAGCATACAGAGGGATCAACCTTTGGTGGGTTTAAATTCCGGCAGGGGATATCTGATGCATAAGTAACGATAACATGAGATCAGGTGTGATATGTGACATTAAGTGACGTGCAGAAAATTGTAGAATTTAAGGAGTGATTCCTCTTGGTTGTTGTCATCACGATGGCTTGAAAAAGTTGGGGATATGGGAGCTGAGGCTCAGTGATAGAGGTGTTTTGGGTAGGAGAGATTCCATAAAGATGGGGCCCTGGGGAGATGCGTGGTGGAGAGGCA